CAAAAGCAACATCAACAGAGGTGTCGTGTCCTATAATTGATGGTGACGGAGGGGCCCGGGACGTGGGGAGTAGGGAGACGAGATGGATCATGAACAGGAAGGAAGGAAGGAAGGAAGGAGGGAAGGAAGGAAGGAAGGGAAGGAAGGAAGGAAGGAAGGAGCATGCCGTTCGAGACGCCTTAGAGAGCGTACCTTGAGCGAGACGCTGACAGCACCCTTGTTGGCAATCACATGGCCGATACCAGTAGCCTCGCTTGTGGCTGTAACATCAGTGATGGCTTTCTGTGGCACACATGGGGAGGGGGAGGGGGGGGGAGAGAAGGGGAAGAAGAGGGTTGGGAGTGGATGGGAAGGAGAGAGATGAAGGGGGGGGAGAAGGGAGAGGTTATGACTTGCTTGTGGCTGTCACGTCAGTGGTGGCTATCTTTCTCTGGTGCCCTGCCCACACAAGGTGACTCTTGAGTCCACTCAAAGTCACCCCGCTTGTGGCTAACACGTCAGTGGTGGCTCTCTGCTGCCCACACATGCCGAGCGCAGGAGAAGAGAGAGGGAAATAGTGAGGTGGGAAAGCGAAGCAGTTGGGGCAAAGGCGAGAGGAAATGGGTCAGGGCAGTGACAGTAGGTGGGCATGAGCAAGAGTTGAGCTGGGACCAGCAGCAGCAACAGCAGCAGCAGCAGCAGCAACAGCAGAATCAGCAGACCACCACCACCGGCGCCACTAGCAGCAGCAGCAGCACCACCACCACCACCACCGCCGCCGCCACTAGCAGCAGCAGCAGCACCACCACCACCACCACTGCCGCCACTAGCAGCAGCAGCAGCAGTAATGATCCCACCTGTGAAGTTTCCAGCACCAGCACCGGCACCACCACTGGCACCACTAGCAGCAACAGAACAGCAGCAGCAGCAGCAGCAGCAGCAGCAGCAGCAGCAGCAGCAGCAGCATCAACAATGATCGCACCTGTGAGGTTTCCAGCACCAGCACCACGAGTCGCATCTGGCCACGTGTGGTGCCCTTCACCATCTTGTAGTGCGGAGCGAAGTGTGCTCTGCACGGCAACGAGGGCGTGAGAAACGGAGCGTGCGTGAGGTGAGGAAAGTAGAGAGCGTGAGAAACGGAGCGTGTGTGGGGAAAGGAGAGAGCGTGAGAAACGAGTGTGCATGGAAAAACGAGGGAGTGAGAAACGGAGTGTGCGAGATAAGTAGTGTGCGCTTGAGGACATGGGTGTGTGTGTGGCGAGAAAACAAGGGATTGAGAAAGCGAGCGATTTATGAAAAAACTAAAAAGGTGTGAGACTGATTGATTAAGGGGTAGCTACACGAAAGAAGAAACGACATTAACTACAGCACAACTGACAGCTCATTCACATCGGGGACGGCACTTGCCTAATAACAGCAACCCAATCCTCCATGCAGGTGGCGTAGCTGGAAAAGCAGAAATGGCACTTACTAAAACACAGCTGGCACTTTCTCAATTCCAAGACAGACAGGCACTTACTTTATAGCAGCGACCCAGTCTTCCATGCAGGTGGCATAGCCAGGACGAGGCTGATACTCGCACTCCTGTGGAGCGGAGGTGACAGGTGAAGCAGGGGAAAAGGGTGCAAGCAATCGATGCATGAGAGCTACTGGTCGGTTAACAATGCAGCGACCCAGTCTTCCATGCAGGTGGCATAGCCAGAACGAGGCTGATACTCGCACTCCTGGTTGGGGTGGGGAGGGAGATCAAAAATAGCGCATCAAGAAGAGAAATACAGCAGAGTGTGGGAACAAGTCATGTCTGATAGTTGCATTCGTAGATGCGGAGGGAGATGGGAAATACAGCAGAGTGTGGGGCATACAGCAGAGTGTGGGGCATACAGCAGAGTGTGGGGCATACAGCAGAGTGTGGGGCATACAGCAGAGTGTGGGGCATACGGCAGAGTGTGGGGCATACAGCAGAGTGTGGGGCATACAGCAGAGTGTGGGGCATACAGCAGAGTGTGGGGCATACAGCAGAGTGTGGGGCATACAGCAGAGTGTGGGGCATACAGCAGAGTGTGGGGCATGCAGCAGAGTGTGGGGCATACAGCAGAGTGTGGGGCATACAGCAGAGTGTGGGGCATACGGCAGAGTGTGGGGCATACAGCAGAGTGTGGGGCATACAGCAGAGTGTGGGGCATACAGCAGAGTGTGGGGCATACAGCAGAGTGTGGGGCATACAGCAGAGTGTGGGGCATACAGCAGAGTGTGGGGCATGCAGCAGAGTGTGGGGCATACAGCAGAGTGTGGGGCATGCAGCAGAGTGTGGGGCATACAGCAGAGTGTGGGGCATACAGCAGAGTGTGGGGCATACAGCAGAGTGTGGGGCATACAGCAGAGTGTGGGGCATACAGCAGAGTGTGGGGCATACAGCAGAGTGTGGGGCATACAGCAGAGTGTGGGGCATACAGCAGAGTGTGGGGCATACAGCAGAGTGTGGGGCATACAGCAGAGTGTGGGGCATACAGCAGAGTGTGGGGCATACAGCAGAGTGTGGGGCATACAGCAGAGTGAGGGGCATACAGCAGAGTGTGGGGCATACAGCAGAGTGTGGGGCATACAGCAGAGTGTGGGGCATGCAGCAGAGTGTGGGGCATGCAGCAGAGTGTGGGGCATACAGCAGAGTGTGGGGCATACAGCAGAGTGTGGGGCATACAGCAGAGTGTGGGGCATACAGCAGAGTGTGGGGCATACAGCAGAGTGTGGGGCATACAGCAGAGTGTGGGGCATACAGCAGAGTGTGGGGCATACAGCAGAGTGTGGGGCATACAGCAGAGTGTGGGGCATACAGCAGAGTGTGGGGCATACAGCAGAGTGTGGGGCATACAGCAGAGTATGGGGCATACAGCAGAGTGTGGGGCATACAGCAGAGTGTGGGGCATTGACAAAGCAAAGCCAAGGCGAGCAGCAAAATGAAGAGGTGGGTGGAGTGGGGAGGAAAGGACAGAAAAGGGCGGAATGACTCGATGAATGAGAGCGAAGGGATAAGCCGCGCAAGCAGCAAGCAGTCGATACGAATGCATGCAAAATATGCTCCGTGCGTGCGTGCACGTATAAAGCCCGGGAGAAGTTTCGAGAGATCTCAGATATTGCGTTTTGAGATGTTTCAGAAGTTGATCGATGGTTGCGAGACGAGACGAGACGAGACAAGACGAAACGAGCACAAGTTTCGTCCGGGCCCGTTGGGAGCCAGCGAGAGCGAGAGAATGAGCACATTGGATTGGAATGGTTTCTTTTGTTGCTCAATCGTTTCTGGGAGGAGCAGCGGAATTGACCTGTGAGCCGATAGCAATGAGCTCGTGGTCCGTGCCCTTGGGGAGCCAGGGGGCGAGAGGGGGCAAGCGGGCGGGCGGCACCATGCAAGATGCCTGTAGGCATGCACATGCACATGCACATGCACATGCATGAGGGACTGACCTGCGAGCCGATGGCAATGAGCTCGTGATCTGTGCCCTTGGGGAGCCAGGGAGGGAGGTCGTCAGGCTGTATGGGGCATGGGGCGTGGCATGGGGCATGGTTCATGGGGCATGGGGCATGGGGTATGGAGCATGGGGCATGGGTCATGGGCGTGGGCAATGGGGCATGGGGCATGGGTCATTGGACATGGGGCATGGGGCGTGGGGCACGGGGCATGCGGCATGGGTCACGGGACGGCATGTGCATGCAGAGATGCCCACACACAAGTGTGAGATGTAGGCATGCACATGCACATGCAACATATTGGCATCCACTTGGATGGACATCCACGTGCACAGCCCACATCATCCACCACTCCTCAAAACTCCTCGTAACCCCTACCTATCCCCTCATCCTACCGGGGGTGCATTGCCCACGTTCCACGACCCGATAAACAGCTTGATGGGCTGCTGTGGCGGCGCCCGCGCTGCCACCACGTGCAGCAGCACCTGCGGGAGGGGAGAGAGGAGGGGGAGGATTACAGGGCAGGGCACGAGGCAAGATTTGGGGTAAGTAACAGCATTTGATTTCTCCGCTCAAACATCTCAGGCTGTAAGCTTGATGGGCTGCTGTGGCGGCGCCCGCGCTGCCACCACGTGCAGCAGCACCTGCAGGAGGGGAGGGGGAGGAGGAAGGGAGGGGGGGGAGGGGAAGGGGGGAAGGGGGTGGGAGGGGGGGGGGGGGAGGTTGGGAGCGAGGGAGGGTTCCGAGTCAACTGAATCTAAACTGATCTGGAAGGGCTCGTGCTGCCACCAAGCAGCAGCACCTGTGGGAGGAGGGGAGGTTGGGAGGAGGGGGGAAGGTTTGAGTCGACTAAAAAAAACTGCTGTGGAGGGGGGCTCGCGCTGCCACCGCGTAGCAGCACAGGGCAAGAGAGGGGGAAGGAAGAGAAGGGGGAGGAAGAGAGGGGGAAGGAAGTACAGGGCAGGAGGGAAGGCAGGCGGGGGAGGAAGGGGAGCATTGGGGTGCTGCTGGGAACTCAGAGAGAAGACGCGTGTAATGTAAGTAAGCGCCTTGTGCAGTTGAATCTGAATGGAATCGTAACATTGCAGGGTATTTATTATAAGATGCGTGTAAGCTCCTCATGCAGTAGAATGAAACCATAACATGCTCCCTCCCTCTCCCTCTCGCTCTTACACACTTCACCTTCTGCTTCCCCCCACCTCTCACCCTGTTGAATTCTCCCCCCCACTCCCCGCTCCCACCTTCTCCCTCTCCCTCTTTCGCTCACCTTCCCTACAGATGCCTTCTTGCTTCCCCCCCTTTAACTTCTCATCTTCATACCCCCCTCCCTCTCACCTCCCTCTCCCTCTCACTCACCTGTCTCCCTCCCGATCTCACCTTCCCTACAGACGATTTCTTCCCCTCCTTGGCCACGATCTCGTACCACTCGGGCTCCAGTGTGCGGTCTGCAAAAGGAAAGGGGAGGGTGGGGAGAAGAAGAGAACCAGATTCAGGAGAGGGGTTGGAAAGCTGACGGGGGTGGTCAAACATATCTTCCCCTCCTTGGCCACGATCTCGTACCATAAGGGCTCCAGTGTGCGGTCTGCAGAGGGGAGGGGAGGGGAGAATGGATGGAAGAAGAGAGCCAGGTTGGAGGGCGAGGTTTGATTCGTTTGAACGAGACCAGCTATCTTCCCCTCCTTGGCCACGATTATGCACAGCGGCTTGATGGACTCCCCCACTTCGGCCCCCACCCACCCACACGGCCTCCCCATGCCCGCACCCCCGCACGCCCGCACACCCTTAGAGGCGCCTCAAAAGTCACCCACACGGCCTCCACATGCCCGCCCCCCCCCCCCCCCCCCCCATGCCCGCACGCCCGCACGCCCGCCCACAAGCCCCAACGCCCACAGTACTGCATGCTCCCCCATTCACATACACGGGTCGGTTTCTGAGCAGGTCACACACGCGTAGCGCCTTGATGGACCACAGCACCTTGCGCATGCCCATGGCCGTCTGTCTGTACCCTGTGCCTTGTCACTCGGTCACTCCCTATCTCTCTCACCCGGGTCAGTTTCAAGTAGCCCCTCCACGCGCAGCGCTTTGATGGACCCCAGAACCCACTTTTTCACCCGCCCATATGGTCCCTCATCCGCCCGCCCATATGGTCCCTCATCCACCCGCCCATATGCCCCCTCATCCGCCCGCCCATATGGTCCCTCATCCGCCCGCCCGTATGCCCCCTCATCGCCCGCCCATATGCCCCCTCATCCGCCCGCCCATATGCCCCCTCATCCGCCCGCCCATATGCCCCCTCATCCGCCCGCCCATATGCCCCCTCATCCGCCAGCCCATATGCCCCCACATTCGCCGCACGCCCACAGTGCTGCATGTTCCCCCATTCACCTGCCGGGGTCAGTTTCGAGCAGGTCACACACGCGCAGCGGCTTGATCGACCCCAGCACCTTGCGCATGCCCATGGCCGTCTTCCCCACCACCGCCACGCGCACCTCCGCCGACTGCGCGGATACAGGGGGCGGGGAGAACAGGCGGAAAGTGGAAAGGGTGGGGAGGAAAGGGCGGGGGATGGTGGAGCGGGGGGAGAAAGGGTGGGGGATGGGCGGAAAGGAAAAAAAAAAAAAAAAAAAAAAAAAAAGTGAGGGTGGGTGGAAGAGGGGAAGCCAGGGGAAATGGCGGAGGCGGAAGGGAAGCCGGACGACTGAGGGCACGAATGGGGGATGAAGTCGGGGAGGTGAGCGCGCGGGGGAGGAGAGGAGGGAGACGGGGAGAAGGGTGATGGAAAGGGAGAAATGGAGGAAGGGAAAGGGAGAAGTGCGAGAAGTGAACGAAAGAGTAAGCGAAAGAGGCGAAGGTTACTTTTTCATCCTTGACGTCGAACGAGTGGCCTTGGTCGAATGTGATCAAACCGTCGTCTGTCTTCTCGTGCACCTGAATTCACCAACCGAGACAGCAATGACAACGGGTATAAATTAAATTCGCGATTGCTGATAACGCGAACGAAAGCAGGACCTGCCCAGGACCGTGACATTGATAAGAAGTACAACCAAGGGGGGGGGGGGGGGGGGGGGGGGGGGGGGAAATGACACTGCAACCAGACTAGACTATCAACTTTTCGAACTCTTAGGAAATTGCTCTCTTTCTCCCTGAATATCGGACAATGGAAAGAACTATAGAATGCAGCGAAACGGAGATCTTTATCACGGAAGCATGCGGTGCTGCGCGGAGGGGAGGGGAGCGGCGCGTGGCGTTACTACGTATGTCTGAAGTTCGAAAATAGCTGTCTTCCACGGCGACTTGAACCACAGGGTTACTCAGCGACCCCACGTCCTTTATGGCCACCACCTTTACAGTCACTCGACACGCCCGAAGGCCTCCCTGAGACACGAGACGGGATGCAGCGAAAATAGAAGAAGCACGTCAGATGAGACTGAAAACGTAATAATACATTGAGCTACGGTGATCTAGTGGTAACCCGAAACGTGCTTCTATTTCACATCATAATTCGCATTTCCTTATCTCGTAAGAAACGGCATTGCCCGTCAAGTCATCGCAATGCGTGAAAGTCGCGCATTTTACGAAGCGAAAGCTAAAATTAGGTGAAGGAAGCAGCTGTACCCTAGAAGACATGGCCTGCGCTTATGACGAGGCTTGAATGGCTTGAGTGGCAACTCAGTCGACGACGCTTAGTGAGGAACCCCTTTGTCGAACCCTACTAGGGCTGATGCAACCAGCAGGCTGCTACCTAGAGTCGCTAAGAACGGGGAAAAAGGTTATGTTTGAGATCCTGTGATGGCAGCAGCTGTATTACCCCCAGCTGCTTTTCAATGCAGCTTCGACAACTTCAGTGCACACAAACTGAAAATGGAGTCAGCAGCTGAATATAACTTAATATTAATAACCTTATCCTGCTAGCAGCAGAGAAACGGCCACTTCGGGCGGACAAGACCGCGTAATGCGTTGTTTTTACACGATGTTTGTAACGAGGAGCTCGCGTGAGAGAATAGATGGGAGATCAGCCCAGCTATCAACCTGTCCCGAGTGTGTTTCTAGGTGATGATCGTTGACTTGAGCTGAGCTGACGAGTTGGCTGGCTGGGCTCATCGTTGTCACATCCCGTCCCCGTCATTTCCTAGGTGCGCTTTGAGTGCATGGTGGGTGCTAGTCTTCCACGAACGCTCCTGCGTCCTACAGCTGATGCGCGGTTGAGTCGTGTCGCGGATGGGTTGAAATAACGAGCCGTGTTTCGCAAAACGTGGGGGAACACGGTGAAAGGCAGAATTTTACAATCTTTTATTCAATCCACTTCAATGGGAGGGCAACACATTCAGCAGAACCCATATCAGTGCCATGAAAAGTTGGTGTATCTGGCTTGTGGCGGCTAATTTGATGTTTTGCTTCTTGCTTGGTGGCCCACTGGGGCACTGGACTGATCACTGGGACTCGCAGTGGACTTATTGTTCCTCACTGTTTCCCTAACCCAGTTCGATTCCTTGGTTTTCTCTACGGTTCTGTGCGGCGATTCGGGGTGGATATATATGTAGCGCGTTTTCATTCGGTGAATCTAGCTTTCTCACGATTCGGAATGATGCGGCTGCTCGCCACCACCTGGTTTGAAAGGACAACCAGATGAGCGGACGCGGTAAGCGCACTCTACTGTATTGATACCCACTTACTGGTCCCGGTTTTGGATACTGTATGGTGCATCTCTCGTGACAAAGACTCGCGTCACGGAGAGCCTGCATTTCCGTACGTTTATAGCATGCTTTGGTACTTTTACAAGTCCGAGGAAGCCTGTTGAGATCCATCCCGATTTCCTTGATTCAATCCAATCCATCCAGAGTTGTCATTTCCACGAAAGCTGAATAATGATATTCTTTATTTTGCTCAACTCTCTTGAACATCTCATAACACGTACAGTACATTCAAAACTGCAGTGTATACTAGTTCTTCTCGATCTCAACAGCTGGTCGCCCAAAATGTTTACAAGTGTGAAATATGGGACTTTTTGGCATCGTAACGGGATGTAAAACCCGACATTGGGTATTTTGTTTCCAGTGCTGGAAAACCATCTATAGTGCATTTTCGATTCACTGTAACCCCCACGTACTGGAGGGTGTCTTTCATCACCCTCGAGGTGCTTTCGAAGGAGGTGAGAGCTTGTTTCGTAAGTTTCACAGCATACCGAGTCCCTATGGGTCTTCCCAACCTCAACTTCGTGTCTGGCTTCGTGTCTGATACGGGATAGGAACGCGCCCTAAGGGTGACGGTTCATTTTTTTACTGTGACGACCCTCGATCTTGCTGCATTCACCACAGAACACCAACAGCAGCCAACGGTCCTGTTCGATAGGAAATAGGCAACCATGCTCCCACCATTGTGGTCGCACAATGGTGGGAGTAAAACGACAAATCCCAAGTTGCGAGTCAGCGCCGGCAGCGTAATCATTGGCGCAGGCCCTTGGCCGGCTTCGTTCACCAAGTCTAAGGGCGTGTGTGATTTTTTTTGGAGTTCGTAATACGGGTCGAACTTGGTGTGGTTACCCATGTCGCCAATGTTCGCAGAAACTTTCGTCAAGCTTGACTCCATCACCAACTTCTCTAAGTGCGAACCTATAAATGTGAACAAGATTCGAATATATGCACAAACCCTGTCGACCACCATGAACCGAACGTGTGTTGTCTCAGGCACGTACGAGGTTTCAGCGAGCCTCGCGATTCTTTCGTGCACCAATGGAGTCACATCCATGACCCTGCGCATCGCCCATCGCGCTAAGCCCACCATGTGGCATGCGTCGTGGCACGATGGCGTATCGTTTGCGCGTCTCACCCGCCGCGTCGCATTGGGCTATGCAATCCCGCCAACAATCTTGACATCTTCCTCAACCCCCAACCCCCCCTACGGAAAGCAGCTCACAGGGATTAAAGGTAACCATACCCCGCATTCAAGCTGTGCCTTCAGCGTAGAATCGGATCACCATGTCCGCGTCACATAATGAAGCCAATGGAACCACGGCACCTACCACTGCTCCAGTTGCTGCTAGCACTCCTGCCCGCCGTCGACGTGCAACGATAGATAATACTACCGCACGCCGATTAGACGTGATAGATCTCGATCAAGTGATTGCTCGAGTTCCCTCGCACAACACCCTACTTAACGCCACCGACGACACGCTGGCCTATTTCTACGCCGGAGAGGTAGACTGCGACTTAGAAGACACCGGCGACGAGGACACTGACCCCGCGATGCCGTCCGACCGGCCTCGCTGGGAACCGCACGAGGTGATGCAACTGGCGTGGATCCGCCATGACTACGACTCCCAATGGCGCGGCCAGACCCGCTTGCAAGGGCAGAACCGGGACGTGATGTTATTCCAGAAGCTGCGGGAGCGCCACCCAGACTTCCAGCATAATCTGGCCTCTGTGAAGGCTAAAGTCTTCCGGATGGAGGCCCAATATCGGCATGTGGGGGATCTCCTACTCAAAGATTCAGGCAAAGGACGCCCCCCGAAGTTGCCAATATTCTATGACATCTTCGACCGCATCTTGGGGGATCGCGCGAATGCACGTCCGCGCTAACAGGTAGCCTCCCTGGGGCTAATGTGGTTAACCTGCCGTCAACCAGCACCTCTGCAAGTAAGTGTTTTGGGATGATTTTCCTTGCTTCGTAAGTTGTCAGACAACCAACTTTGATAAAAGGTACTAGCTACATATAAGTGAAGAAATACATAGCTAGAAACCTTAACCCCAATGCTTCAGCTACTACTTCTACGTTAACCCCTCGCTCTTAACTCCGGCTACTTGACCGTTGTTCTTGCAGGTCGTGCCGTGCAAACACCAACGGCGTCGCCAAATCGGCCGAGGGCGATGCATCGCACCTCCTCGCGCCAGCGTACGACATCCTCGCCGAGTGGGTCGCCCTCGAACCGGCCACTAACTTCGCTGCCAGCGTCAGCGGACGAGCCCACAAATGCCGCCGCGGCGGACTCTCCTGTCCGCTCACACGTCCTCGGTGCGCGCACAGGAGCTTCGCTCCGTGGGCGTGGAGTCAACCGTCGGCCTGGGCCTGCGACTGCGAGTGATGTGAACACAGTAAACGATCCGGGCGAACATGCATTGGGGAGTTTGATGAATGCTAGTGATTTGGCATTATGCAAGGAAATAGCCGCAATCATTGCGGAGTCGGTCAAGGGTGCAATGCAATCACAGTTTGCCCAATTCATGGAACGTACCCAAGAGTTGGTTGCGTTTGCTCAGGATGCCCCAGCCTCGAGGAAGCGTAGAGGCACGCCGCCATCCGAGCGCGACGACGAGCAGGAGTGAAGCCCTCAACCCGCGGCGTGAAGTGCGGCATTTCGGTGGCGGGGCCGTGCTGCCACCACGTGTTGCGCTCGCACTCAGGGCGAAGCCGGGGACGGGGGCCGAGGAGCAGATCAATGTTGTGCAGCACGATGCAGGCAGAGACGTACTGAGGGGCGCGGAAAACGTCACACTCCAGCCTG